ATGCGTGGGGACAAGTCAAATAAATAAATAAAAATAAAAATAAATTATAATTTAAGACTGTAAGCCTATATGGTAGTGAAGTTTATTGCAATCTGTGGGGCTTACTTCTAAGTAAATTCTGAAGGATTGTGCTGTAAATGTTCAGAAACCTATACCAGAATATACTTGAATAAAGCCAAATAAAACAAAATCCTATGCAAAAAATAAACCATTAATATTTACTTCTAAGGTTGAAAGAGGGTTCTTTACATCATTTTAAAACAGTTTCCTCCTATTCCTAAATCTGAATAGAAGTGTATCCTAAATATCAAAAGCTGATTTTTCTATCCTTATTCCCCACCCTTCCCATCACTTTTAATTGTATATAATCTTTGTATGTATTATTAGGAGCCATAAAGCGGAAAGTTGAATTGGATTGGGGCACAGAAGACACTGAATACCTTCAGAAAGTAAAAACTCATGTGGAAGGTGCACTGAATGAAATGAGATCAGACATAATTATTTATAATGCTGGAACTGATATTTTGGATGGTGATCCTTTGGGAGGCTTAGCTATTTCACCTGAGGTTTGTAGAGCACAAAGATTTATTTTCCTAAAATACAGTAGGATACTGTAGGATGTCAGTATCCCAGCTATGGCGACCAGCTCATTATTTATTCTGATATCCTTGCACAGCCCTATTTTATCTTCTGAGTTAATCTCATTTTTTTATAGTTCCTTTTCTTTGTTTGTACTCTCAACTGCTGTATGTTTTTGTCTTGGAGTATGTACTATGTGGCCCCTCAGTTATTTTCTGGGGCTGTGTAGTGCTCAGCTTTTATTCCAAAAATATTATTTAGAGCATGTGGAAATGAGAAGGTACATTGTCTGCAACTCTTTAAAGCAGCTGTGTCTTTCCCCAGGATCCACACCTGTCCTTTGTGCTTACTGCATGATCTGGGGGAAAAGTACAATTGGTTTAAGGGGTTACAGACAGGGGCTAGGTTTGTGTTCCTGCATGTTTTAATTTGAATGTAGTTCTCAGAATTCAGGTGATTTTCTGCTGCTTTTCCATTGGTTCTGGAAAAAAGAGGCTCACTGCTAGTGTTTATTATCTGTCAAATATATAGAATTTTATATACAATAATAATTACAATACAATAACTTAGAGAAAGAGAAGAGAATGGAAGAAAGAATAAAAAGTGCAAGAAAAAGAAAAAGAAAAAATATATGAAGAAGTGATTTCCAACCTTCATTACAACAAGTATAAACAGATTTAATTTAACTCTTCACCCCCTATAAGGTTAAACAGGTATTTCTTCATCCCATATCCCACCCCTTGTCTATAAGCAAATCCTTAAAACATCAACTTTTAATCCTGGTGTCAGCAAAAGGTCCATAAAAGGTTGCCAGAACATTGCAACAAAATGTCTTATTTTAACTTTGATCAAGTAAACTAACTTTATATATTCGATCATCTCCTGCACTCAAACCTGCTGTCCTGCCGTCTCCTTGCAAGGAGCAGCCATCTGGAGTGCTTGTGAATGATTTCCCATCATCTCCTTAGCTGAAGAGCTTCTGAGGGACCGGTCTACTCACCAGTTCCTTGGTCTTTGCCACAGTCGGCTCCCCTTTCGCAGAGCTGCCTTCAGTTCACCATACTGCCCCTGGCTAGCACTTATTATCAATCAATATTTTGTGCAGCTATTACAGCTTTTTCCTTTAATGGATATTTTATGGAAGGAAGAAAAAAGCAAACAGTAGCAGCAGTAGAAAACTAGCAGTAGAAAACTAGGAGGTTGTTGTCTGGATCCCTCATAAGATCCTGTAAGTAGGACAGGACAATTCACAATAAAAACCTTGCCTGGAAACACCATTGCAAACTGGAAAGCAGTTATATCAGATGCATAGAGAACTTCTCTTCCTTTTGTTGGTATAAATAGAAAAAAAGAGTACAGATGACTGATTGCTGGTCAGGTCTATTGTTTTGTGTTTCTTTTGGCTTTTGAGGGTTGTTGGGAGTATAGCATGATACAGGGGTGCCGAAAAGCCAGTTTGGCTGAAAAGCCAGTTTGGTCTAGTGGTGAAGGCTCCAGGCTAGAAAGCAGGAGATGGTGAGTTCTAGTCCCGCCTTGGGCATGAAAGCCGGCTGGGAGACTTTGGGCCAGTCCCTCTCTCTCAGCCCAACTCACCTCACAGGGTTGTTGTTGTGGGGAGAATAGGAGGAGGAAGGAGTATTAGATATGTTTGCTGCCTTGAGTTATTTATAAAAAACAAGACAAACGAGATAAAACATCTAAAAAAAAAAAAAGTTGGGCTACTGGGAAGATTATTGGAAAAGGGATGCATTGAGCCGAGTCTTCCTTCTACAGACTAAAGACCCCAGATTTTGCCACTTAAAATTGACATTCTGTGGCTGAATTACAGTGATGGGACCTTAGAGAACAAAACTGGGGCTGCTTGTGTTCTGGAAGCCATGGTCTGGCCTTAAAGGAGGGTTGCCGTTTGTCAGAACAGAGACGAGGGCAGATTTCATCCCTTTCCCCTGATTCCTGATTCTGCTCTTTTTCCTAGCTCTTGGATGTAAATAATGATTTACATCTAAATTTAATACATTAAAACATTAATTTAGTACATTTATTTTTTTTAATGCAGTACCTATAAAGTACAGTTTAGCTCTCTTGTATGTAATCTGAAAAGAGAAAGAAAACCCTTCTTCAGACAAAAATTTGTAAGGGAAGAGAACATTTCTTTCATGGGTCTTTGAAAAGGACATGAGATCCTGTCTGTTTGATACAGAGAAAATTAAAAAAAAAATGACGCTCAATGTTTGGATCTGGCATCTGATGTGATCCATCCTTACTGTGGTAATAAAGCATTGCATGTAGATGCTGGAAAGACTTATTTTGGGGCACCGAATGCAGCAGTTCAAGAATTCACTCTCAGCTATTTCCTTGGTTGGCTGTTGATCAGCACCCAGTTTTTTTTGATAGTAAATGGATCACCAGTGGTCACAGCTACTACTATAATATATAACTCTCAAAGAGTTTGGTGTAAAATACATACAGTATTGTAAAATGATGACCTGTGTAGTTCATAAAGTATTAGGAACTCCAGCATTTGCTATTTCAACTGTTGCTGTTGCAAATTCTCAGGGCATTATTGAAAGAGACGAAATTGTGTTCCGAGTTGCTCGAAAACACAGGATCCCTATCCTGATGGTGACGTCTGGGGGCTATCAGAAGAGGACTGCGCGGATTATTGCTGATTCTCTTCTCAATTTGCACCGTCTTGGGCTGATTGACCACGAGCTTGCAGCCCGGGAAGCTGGAAGCACGAAGGTAGAACTAATGAGCAGGGAACGTAAGCAAGATCAGCTGACATGCCAGTAAAGGAGGAGAGTTTGGGATCACTGCATAATAGGCAATTATAATTGTTTAATATTTAAACCATGAGATGAGCAATATCCCAAGTTCTCATAGAATTAATATACACTAATAGAGACAGATACTTACTAGTATCTTATTTGCTTTCCAGTGACAGTCCTGTGAGGGTTGTCCTCACAACTTCTTCCAGTTCTTTTAAATGCTGTTTTATGAATTTAACACTGGCCTAACATCTAGAGTGGGTTAGACTCGCTGTGGTCTCAGTGAAGAAATGAGCAGTACATCTTCTTACCTCACATGATCTGGCTCTTCAAATAGGATTTGTGTTGTTTAAGGGAGGCAAGCCTTTCTGCAAGTGGTTGAAGGAACATTCTGAAAGCTAGAGCAGAATCATTTTCTGGAGGACAGCCAAGAGAATGCAAACATGAACATAATGCTAAGAAAATTGAGTGTGTATATATACGTGTGTGTGGCGTCGTAACGTCTTCCAATTATTTCTAAATAGAATTCTAGTGGGAAAATGGCAAGATTTTAATTTTTCCTTTATCAGAAAGGGAAACTAATATGAGTCTCTTTTTGTTCATTTGAAATGTGATTATATTTCAGAGCTACAGGCAAGGATATTGTGGCACCTGCTAGATTCATATCTATTTGTTTTTCCCCATTCTTCCCAGAACTATAGAACAGAATACTGCTATCTGTCTGCCTACTATTTTCCACTGAAAATTTAGGATTATATGCACTAAAATATTACATGTAAGGGTTAGAATTTATCACCGAACTAAAGTGCAATGCTAAGTAGAACATAAATTCTAGTGAAACCTATGGAGATCCTGAAGTAACATCTAAGTAATTTGCTCCAGTTTTAACAGCAAAAAGGTAAAATAAAACAATACCTAACACTTCTTCTAAACTGGTGCCTATCAAAATTGCATGATTGAGGCACACTCTTTTTTAAAAAATCAAAGTTGAATGTAGTAACATCTATCCTTGATTATAGATCTCACTGACAGTAATTTGTATTTCTTTATAATGGTACCAATATATAATATGAATTCTGAAGCGTGGAAAAAACTATACATGTAAAGTAAGAATTTAAAATTTTTGGTTTTTACTCACGTTTCTGGAAAGCGTGCAGATTTTTTGAGAAGGATAGGACATACAATAGTTTCTTTTTAAATTGCAGAAAGCAATTCTATTATGTAAACATTCAGTGCTTTCTTTAAATGGTGCAATGCGTATTATTCAAGAATATTTTTTGAAAGGTGGTTCCTAAGAAGGGAAAACTTGCTTCTAGTCTCAGAAGCTTTTATTATTGGAGACAATTGATTAATGGCCAGAAAATAAATGAGCAACAACAGGGATTGATTTGTAGGTATGTCTGTGGGTCCTACAGAACTAAAGGCTTCTCCTGTGGGACACAAACTAATGCTGTAAGATTAATGAAAAAAAATTCTAGGGAAGGCAGTGGAGTACCAGAGGATGTCAATTCCTAGTAGCTTTGGAATCTCCAGATTCTGTACATCATCGTCGTCGTCGTCGTCGAAACTGAAATACAGTAGAAAGCTGGCATGCTGCAGATTCTAGCATATTCCAAGCTCCAGATAAGCTACATACATAGGTATTCTTTGAAAATGAAAATTATGGTAGTTAGGTACTTAGTTAAGTATGCCAGTGTGCCATGAGAAAAGTCCCCACCTGCCCATTACAAAAAACTCAAAAAACAACTTGCCATAAATTTACTGGGATGGTAGGGAGCATCCTGAAGCTGGAGTGTGTAGCGGGAAGCAGATATGTGTCCCGTGACTGGCCACACCACCATGAAAGCATTTTGGGACTAAGAAGTTGGTACCCAGGGCAGTCATTCTGTGAAATCACCCACAAGGCTTTTGAAATTGCAAATAAACCCACTAGCCTGAAAAGATTGGGCTATTCCTGAAATACAAAATCAAATACATCCCAGTGCATTCATTTTATTATAGGTGTCATTACACTAAATTAGCTGTTTTGCAGAAAACGCTGTTTTTAGAAGCTAGAAATCATGATGAACATACATGTGCAACTGAAGGGTATCCTTTGGTCACAAAGGACCCAGGTGCAGGCTCACAGTTACAGTGCTAGCTTACAACACAGTCACAGAATGTCAATATATTTCAGTGGTTAGAATAAACATCTTGCACTGCTTGAGAAATGATGTAATACAGCAACTTGAACTCAGTTAATACTAATTCTCAACCGGAGGCACGTTGTTATAGAAAGAAGTCAAATTTGCTAGGAATGATTTTCATTTAAATAAACTTAATGATCTGGGTTAATATTAAATGGCAATATTATCTTTAAAAAGCACTTTCCTCTACTGTTTAAAATACTTAAACACTGAGATGTATTTTTTACGTTGTCTAACGTATCTAGAGTTGTTATATGAAATAATTTTTTACTGTGTTTACATTTGTATTGATTTCAGTCACTGTAATATGTACTAAAATGTGATTGTGTTTAATTTTATTTATGGATTAAATTAAAATATTGTTAATTTTTCCCATCTTCCTCACTTTTTCAGACACGTGCAATAATTACAGTCACATTTTAAAAAATGGGGTTCTATCTCTGGAGATATTTGTTTTCAAGAAAGAGTTTGATACTAATTTTTTGGCTCTAATTCTATAAATACTTATTAGGATCCAAGTCCCCATAAACTCAGTAGGGGTTACTTATATTGTAAGTATATTGTCATTGGTGAACAGAGAGCTTATTGTCTTCAAATGATTGTATGTTTCTGTGTGTGTGCATACTGACAGTCCAGCAAATGGACCTCAAAAGGACCAGGAAAATTTTAAAAAACCCTAGACTGGTTCTAAAAGAAGATGATTGTGAGTGCTGGGCATTGATCAACATATCTCAACCACAGCTTTAGTCAAGATGATTTCCTCTAAATCATACCTACCCACTGCTTTTTGCATGGCAGAGATGGGTACAGATACAGAAAGAATGGCTTTTGGATAAGCCAACCTAAGGCACAGAAAGGAGAAGGTTTTCTGCTATTTTTCAGATCACATAGGAATTTATAGGTAAAGAAAGCATGTTGAACTAGGACTAAAAATGGATTGAAACAAGTGAAGACAAGTAATGCTTATGTTTTGCCCTGTTGTAGTTAAATTCTTGCTGCTACATTCTATGCTAGCTTAAGTTTCTGAACAGTCTTCAGTGGCAGGCCCAGATCTTATCATGGTTAAGCCTGACAAAGATGAGTCCCTCAGCAGGTTTCATGCTGGAACTGCTTTCCAGAAAGCTCTCATGAATGCTGTTGCCCTTCCATCTCTCTTTAAAACTTGACTTTTTCATGAAGCCTTTGGATCATCCCCTTAATTTCTGTGCCTCAACCCATGTAATGGGGAAACCTCCAGTCGTCACCTAATTTGATCTGTGTGTCTTCTCCATTTGGTCAATTAAGATTTAATTCTGTCTTAAAGGTTATCTGAGGAACCGCCTCGCCCTGGTCTCTTCAGCCCGTCCCACTCGGTCCAGCAGAAGGGGCAGGTTGCAGACCCCACCGGTCAGGGA